TAGAATGTTACTAATTGTTTTACAACGTTTTTGCAAGTCACCCTCCTTTATTGTCCAAGACAGTGGTACCTTGGTTTAAGAACAGCTTAGTTTATGAACAACTTGGATTAATAACGCTGCAAACCCGGAAGTAGGTGTTTTGGTTTGTGAACTTTGCCTTGGAAGCAGAACATGTTCCGCTTCCTGTTGAGTGTGTTCCATTTGTAAATTGAGTCCCACGCTGCTATGGGAAAGCACACCTTGGTTTAAGAATGCTTTGATTTAAGAACAGACTTCTGGAACAGATTAAGTTCATAAACCAAGGTACCACTGTACATTTTTGCACCATTGCACCTGTAAGCCTTCTTTTCACACTTCTTTTCACAATAACTATGCTGGAATTCTTCAGGACCACATAACTGCCTTAATTCACAATCTTGTATTGAGGTTCCTTTTCCACCTCCGTGCACAGACAGACAGACAGACACCTTCTTTTCCTTGCACATGGCCTCAAATGCAACAGAGAGCATAACTAACAGGAAATTTTGATAGTGGACCAGTCCTGGTCTAGAATTATGTAGGTGAAAGATCAACAACAAAAACTGCACCTGTGACACTTGAGAATTCACTGGAGTGTCATACAAAAGATGCTGAAATTAAATCACCATCATCACAAGACTGCATGACTGACAAGGGAATGAGGCACTCCACACTCTGCCCTAAGTGTCCTAGGGATTTATAGCAACTTGTAAACTTTACAGCATGGGTAAGCAAACTAAGGCCCAGGGGCCGGATCTGGCCCAATAGCCTTCTAAATCCGGCCTGCTGACGGTCCAGGAATCACCATGTTTTTACATGAGTAGAATGTGTCCTTTTATTTAAAATGCATCTCTGGGTTATTTGTGGGGCATAGGAATTTGTTCACCCCCCCAAAAAAAAATATATAGTCTGGCCCCCCACAAGTTCTGAGGGATAGTGGACTGGCCCCCTGCTGAAAAAGTTTGCTGACCCCTGCTTTACAGGGAACACTAAAATGATGGGGAAGTAACTAGGCTATTTTATGTGCACATATGGGACAAAGAGGAATACATGCAGCCTGCAGGTCAAACTACAGATTTCCTTTTCTTTTACTAATTACTGAATAGAGGGTTCCATTGTTAGAGATACTAGCAGACCTCAAAGTGTGTAAACTAAAGGATTTGCACCTCAAATACTTTGTTTTTGCAAGTCCTTCTCAAACCCTTCTTTCCATTATCTGCTGCCTAACCAGTGAATCACACATAATCAGTACATAAACAGTGAATCATATTTCTCTTTCTCCTGAAGACTCGTGCTATAAATGTGAGAATTTTCGCATTTGTTAGAAATGTAAATTTCTAGGCCTTGTGAGAGCCAGTATGGTGTAGTGGTTAAGAGCGGTAGTCTCGTAATCTGGGGAACCGGGTTCGCGTCTCCGCTCCTCCACATGCAGCTGCTGGGTGACCTTGGGCCAGTCGCACTTCTCTGAAGTCTCTCAGCCCCACTCACCTCACAGAGTGTTTGTTGTGGGGGAGGAAGGGAAAGGAGAATGTTAGCTGCTTTGAGACTCCTTAAAGGGAGTGAAAGGCGGGATATCAAATCCAAACTCTTCTTCTTCTTCTGCAGAGAAATCCAGCATAATCCTGCATTATAAAAGCTCACTGGTAAAAACAGACAGTTGCTTAGAATTGCCTTGTTGTTGTTGTTGTTGTTTGTATGTAATATCATTGGATGAAACCCAGAAAAAAAAGTAGAGCAAGCATAAAGTCACTTGAAATCAATGGAACCAATGTACCCAGTCTAATAAATTCAATGTATAAAGTACCTCAGTTAATCTGTACAACAGCCATGTAAAGTAGCCCAGTATTATTACCCTCACACAGCAGATGGAGAATGGAGACTGAGATATCAGTAGGTCACTGAGAATTGGTTTTCCCTACCCCTGCCCCAAACACAAACACATCGATGGCTGGTGGGGATTTTGTTTTTCTTCCATGGAGAATACGCACACCCTCCTGGTTCAGTTGTAGGTTGAGCCAATAAAGCCAGTTCATTCTGCCTTGCCATCAGTTTTCCTGCTTTGGGGTTTGGCCAGCAGCAGCTTGCAGACAACGTGTTCCAAGGGAAAGATTGTTCCATTCCATGGGATCCTTCTCTCTCCTGTGCTGCAGTGTGCTTGCAGTGAGGCAGTAATGCATAGTTTGTGCCTACGATGGGCCTTCCCTCAGAGAAGGTTTGCTCATATTTGATCCTCAGCACTTTGTACTATGACTGGGCACATTATTACCCAGCTGGGCACATTGCCATTGACAAACCACAGCAGATCAGCACACTGCCTGCTGGGATGCGCTTTACCGGTAACTAAGTTCACAGAGTTCTTTGTGCATCGTAGAAAAATGCTTCCACCTCATTCAGCAGGAATGCGGTCCTCAGATGTCCCAGTAGTCAGTAGCCATTCCAGTCTACAGCTGGAGAGACAGGTTAGCACTCAGGCTTATCTAAAGCCGAATTCCTAACTAAACTTACAAAAAAGCTGGATTATATTTTGAGATAGCCAATGTAGTGTGTGTGGATCTCCACTTATGCAGTGGAGCTTCTCCTTCCTGTCCTCCCTACACAGGTAAAAGGTAAAGGACCCCTAGACGGTTAAGTCCTGTCAAAGGTGATTATGGGGTGTGGCACTCATCTTGCTTCAGGCCAAGGGAGCCAGCGTTTGTCCACAGAGAACTTTCCGGGTCATGTGGCCAGCATGACTAAACCCCTTCTGACCCCACAAGACACCGTGACAAGTGCCAGAGCACACAGAAATGCCTTTTACCTTCCTGCCGCAGTGGTACCTATTTATCTACTCACACTGGTGTGCTTTTGAACTGCTAGGTTGGCAGGAGCTGGGACCGAGCAATGGGAGCTCACCCCATTGTGCAGATTCAAACCACCAACCTTCTGACCGGCAAGCCCAAGAGGCTCAGTGATTTAGTCCACAGCGCCACCCGCTCCTTTTACCTTTCCCCCCACAGCCCTACATGCCCCCCCAAACCCTTAACCACTGCATCATAACCCACGAAAAGCCACTCTGGAAAGGGGAAAGACCTTAGAAAGGGGAAAGGCTCATTTTTCAATCCCTGCATTCTCCTGTCTGAAACCCCAAAGGACTGCTGCCAGTCAGTGCAGACTCAGCAGAGTCATCTTCCTATGTTAAAGTCTGGAGAGCTTCCAGAGCAGCCTCTGGCAAAGCGCATGGCCCCAGGGTGCATCTGGGAGTGCAAGAAAATGTGATGCAGAAGGCTCAAAAAGTCACGAGACCTTCAGCAAAAAAATCATTAGCAACCCTCAATGAAAGACCTGCTGGTTTTTGTCTGGGATTGTCAAGAGTTATCAAGCCAACCTCACGTCCTCTTTTTCATGAGTAGGTAAAATGAGAGTCATCATAGCGATCCATAGCTAAAAGCAGAAGTTGGCAAATGTGTCCTCTTTTTTGCTCTTCAAAATATGGCAACCCTATAATCTGTGCCTATACGATATAGAGGGTGTTGCCACCTGCTGGTAATGAGTGAACTTGCATTTCTCCTCTTTCGTCTATGGCATTGCAATTCAAAAACAACCTTTCCAGAATGGCAAATCAGGCAGATGGTGCCAAAGGCCAGAACTCTAATGTATCTGCCAGAGATGGATCAAATGACAGGGACAGGGGAAACTCTTCCCTCCCGGCAAGGGAGATGGCTTAGCAGTAGGAGATGGCAAGGATGCAGCAACTGTGTGCACCTGGCCTCCAGTCGCTGGTGTCGGGAGGGTGAGGGAGGAACTGATGGTGAGCTGCAGACACAGGGTTGACTCCTCCAATGTGTTTACATGGCACGGACCTTGCCATGGCCTCGCTCCTACCATTCTCTGCCCCAGTATGCAGCAACAATGTGCGGGGCAGCTGGCCAGGTGAGCACTGCTGCCCCACCTCTGCTGCTCTCTGCTGCAGTGACTTGTGTTGCAGTAATACTTGTTATGATTATCATCATCATCATCATCATCATCATCTATTCAACTTATACACCACCCGATACCCGGAGGTCTCAGGATAGTTCACAACAAAACCACAACATATAAAATCAAACCAAAAGCAGTAACCCAATCACCCACGCCCAAAAAGCCACATTCTAAAAGGGTGTTGGATGTCAATAAGATCAACCAAAGGCCTGGTTAAAAAGGAATGTTTTTGCCTGGCGCCTCAAAATGTATAATGAAGGTGCCAGGCAAACTTCTCTGGGGAGAGCATTCCACTGCAGAGAAGACCCGTTCTCGTGTTTCCACCCTCCGGACCTCTCGAGGAGGTGGCACACAAAGGAGGGCCTCAGAAGATGATCTCAGGGACCAGGAAGGTTCATATGGGAAGAGGCGATCCTTGAGGTATTGCAGTCCTGAGCCGTTTAAGGCTTTTTAGGTCAAAACCAGCACTCTGACACTTACGAAAGGTGAAGTGGTCAGAATGCTGTACCTAAACTTGTTTTCTAAAATACAGGCCTAATTCTCACCATCCTGTTGTAGCAAAGCTGTCTGGACTTTGCTTCTTCATTCGTCGGATAGGGGTGCATATTCAAAGCTCCCTCACGCAAAGTAATTCTTCCACAAAGAAATGTGATGTCGGGAAGTGGGTGGTCATATGTGATCTGAGCAGCAATTAATGCAGCAATATTGGGGAAGCATCACAGTACAAACCATGAAGCAGAATAAATCCATCACTAAGACACTATTATTGCGTCTAGAACGTGTTGCGGGATACACCCACAATTAAACACCTGCCTGTAGGGCCCAGAGACAGGAGACAAAACAAAGCAAGCTGGTGCCCTATTTGTAGGGAAGCAGGAAGAGGTGGAATGGGCAATATGGAAACAGTGAAATGGCTCAAGCACTTCCCACCTCCGTTAAACCTCATGATCTCGCAAGCAACAACTCAATCCACCCACCATCATGTATGGCATTCAAGGAAACTAGAAAGAAACACATTCTGTGTATTCGTTCTCAGTGCTGCTGTGTTGTTGTTTTTAATGTACAGAGAGAAACAATGTTTGCATCCCCCCAAACTGCATGTATCAGAAGAATCAGCATGGAGGGACAGGGGGACTTTTTGATTGAGAAAGACAGAGCACCAAAGCTTCCCTAGCAATGACATTAACAGCATTCATTCAGTCAGTAAGTTATAGCATCAATACAGCCCTCTGTGTGGTCAAAAGATTTGTGCAGAATGATCATCTATGATACAGGATCCTCTTTCCTTTTGCACTTTACAGATTCATAATCTTAGACCTGGCATGCCTCTCCCTCTGCCCCTAATAGAATGCAAAGTGCCAAGGATATGGCCTTGGAGGGAAGACTGCAGTGCAAGATCATTGCAATAGTAATCAGAACTCATGCTAGCAAGATGCTGGGTGCTTCCACAGGAAGCCCGATGGGCTCATGAAGGGCTGAGAGGGCATGAAGTGCAAAGTCATAGTTATCTTTTAATAATGTCTGTACATGCAGTGACTCTACAGCTAATGCAGGAAGATGAGGCAAGACGAGGGAGCACGGGCAGGGGGAGGAAAGAAAGAGGTGCAGGCACTGTGGGACAGGATCTTCATCTTTCCATGCAGGCCCTGGAAAAGAATGGAAAGCAATTGTTCAATTAAACTGGAGTTGGCCTCACTTACAGTGATCACACAAACACTGTCGCGATCCTTGAAGCCTTTCCTTTGCACAAACAGCAGTGTTTAATAACAAACATTCCAAGCAAAATAAAATAACTTAAGTACAGTAACAATAAAATAAAATAAAATGCCCATCATGGTTGGACTAAGTAGCCAACACTAGGTGACTGCTGAGCGAGGACCAAAGACTAAGGAATAACGATCATTACACCCACGCTTTCTATGGCCACTGCTTTCTGCACTGCTGTACCACCCAGGTGCAAACTATGCTGTGTTATTGTCAACTCTGACAGCAGAATTTCTGCTCTTCTTGTGCCAAATTTTTAATGACTGAGCACATTTATACAGGCAATGTGTCACTGGATCCCATCACTTGGTACTGTATTACATGTCTGTCTGCACCAAGAGCATCATGTGATGACTCCAACTGTGAGGAACTAAAACAACAATAACAACAACAGTAGGCTAACTAGTGCTCATTCCATCAGGCTACCTTAACTGTTTCAATCCCAGCTGGTCCTAAGTGTTGCCCCTTCCTGCCCCTCCTTTTTTTCCTTTTGTGCCATGTCTTTTAGCTTGTAAGCCTGTAGGAAAGGACTGTCTTGCTACTGATCTTGTAAGCTCCTTTGGGATGCTTTTTGGATGAAGAGTGGGGTAAAATGCTTTAAATAAAAGGAAAGACAAATCTGGACCAACAGGAACCTACTGGAAGGGGCGGCAGCAGGAAGTGGATAAGAGGAATGATAGTTGGGTTACACACAGTCATCTCACCAGCCAGGTTTTAGCTGAATGAGAATGGAATATTTTCCCCGCCTTAAGTATGAGCTGGCGGCTATATATCCCTTCTCACAAAAATCAGAATTCAACATAAAGGCTTTGGAAGATGGTGGGACATGAGGAGAATGTGGTCAGATTAAGTATTCAGGCTTCTTTTTGCAGTCCACACTGCTTTTCTTCATTTGCCAGCCTTCATCCTGTTTCCTCTTCCACATCTTTAGTCTAGGAATGAGAGCTGAGCATGTGGTGCAGTGATAGCTCTCTACATTGTATAAAGAGAAGCGACTGCTGGACTGGTGATACAGATGATTTTCAGGACTTGATCCTGAATCGTACAACAACCTCCAGTACAGTCTCTAAGGCAGGGGTAGCCAATGTGGTGCCCTCCAGCTCTCATCATCACTGACCTTTGGCCATACTAGCCAGGGATGATGGAAGTCGGAGCCCAACAACATATGTAGGAAAAGAGGATGTAGCAGTGAGCACCATTCCTATTTTGTGGAACTGGTTAGGAAGCCAGCTGACTCTGACTGGTTCTAATGCAGCTCAGTGAGGTTTGGATCACTGTTTCTGACACTGAATGGCATGCAGAAAATGTGAAATAATTAAAAGCGTTGTGTCTGGACAGATATATTCAGAGATTCAAAAGTTGTTTCCCGTCATTATCTCAGAGACAACGATTCAGTGCCCTGATTGGTATGTCCATAAGTCTATCAGCAAGTCAACTTTCTGAGTCCCGGTTGGCATCTTAATAGGGCACTTTCATGTTCAGGCTTGTAAACATTGTGGCAGGTATCATACCTCCTGTTTCCAAAGCTGTGAAGCTTCCACTATATTTTTTATTATTGTTGTGAGATGCAAAGCAGCTTGTAGATCTGCAATGGGGAATCTGTGATGAACACCCTCAAGAAGTTGTTGGACTCCGAACTCCCATAATCTGTAGTCAGCATGGCCAATGGTCAGGGATAGGGATGGGGAGGAAATTTGATTCACTTCACATTGAAAGCCAAATTTATCAATTCACACTCTGAAACAGTTTTAAGAACGGAAACACAGCCTTCCTCCAAAATCCACACTTATTTGGCTTTTGCAGTGCAGTTCTCCGACCAAACAAAAATGTATATGTTAGGTGAAAATGTGCATGACAATGAACAGTGAAAATAACATACAAAAATACACTATATTAGGAGAAACTGTTGCAAAATGTGTACATTAATCAAACCTGCAAAATATGTACATTAATCAAAACTGCATGCAAAATGTTTTTATTGGAATTTTATAGAAATTCTCACTAAAATGTGGAAACGGTTTCTGGAGGATTTTTTTTTTAATGCAATTTTCTGCAGAAATGTGGAAGAACCCAAAAGAAACAAAATTTACAGATTCTTCCAACCCTATTCAGGGATTATGGGAGTTGTAATCGAGCCCTACCTGGCAGGCTACAGGTACCCTATCCCTGACATATATTATCTAGTGTGTGCCCCCCAAATAAGTTTGAACCTGTTTTGCATAAACAGGCAGTAGTTATTAAAGAGGAAAGAAAGAAAGAAAGAAAGAAAGAAAGAAAGAAAGAAAGAAAGAAAGAAAGAAAGCACAGCCTAAACTTCCACTATTGAATTGAACTCAACGGAGCCAGGAAAATGGTGCTGCTTGTATCTATGATACAATGGTTCAATTGCCCAACATTGCCCATTGAGTGGCTTCTGCATTCAAGGAAGTATCAGTCAGGATTCGTGATGATGCTGAGACTGGAACCCTTTACCAATGATAGCAAAATTGTTGTGGACAGGAATCTAAATATATAGGAGTAAATTAAGACTGTCATACTTCTCACTGTCCTGTTGGAGCTTTGGCAGCATCGAACATTTTCTTCCTGCCTTCCATTCCTGACATGGCCTCCACATTCTTACGCCAGTCACCCACTTCTACAGGACGCTCCTGTAAAGAAACCAGGAAGCTTACCTTAGTACCATGAGAACAGAATAGTAAGGGTGAATTCAGAGCACCAGAGCTGTATGTGTATTGTGTGATCCCACCTTAACCACCAATTAAGTGCAGTATGGTGCACGGACTTTGGCATCTTGAGAACTCATTTCAAAGTTTCTAGTCCTCATGGCTGTGAAGGTGAAGGTGAAGGTGAAAGTGGGTGGGCAGTGCCCATGGCATCTCAGAATTCAGAGGGAAAAGATTAGGCAGAATTTTTAAAGGTTGTGAGTTGGGACTTTGCATTCTGCATTATAACATCTTGCCTTTCTCCAACAACTGGAAGAGGAAGTTGTCCAAATTGGCTTGGGTGTGTGTACACATATCACAGAATCCAGTGCAAATGAACTTTTGAATGAATGAAATTCACACATACTCAACTCTATGAGGACTATGCCTCCTCCTTGCCCACTGCCAACCCATCATGAGCAGACATTGCCATTAAAGGTTTGCATGCTGTATAAAATGTGTTTGTACAGACGTTCAGAAAGTCTAATCCTGAGTTTTGCCCTCTTAAGTGGAAGCCAACAATATCAAGCTGGCCAAATATAATCACAGCCAAACATGGAGTTTTAAGTTGATGTTTTAATCATTGTTTTGCTAAGGTTTTCATTGTTTTAAGTTGGTTGCTGTTTCATTGTGCATTATATATCTTATGGTTATCTGTAAACTGCCTTATGAGGGCTACACCCTGTGAGGTAGCCTGATAATATCCACATAAAACAAAGAGGCCAGGCTCATCACAAACATGACCACCACATTTTCCCAACATGCCCCAGTGCATGCAGAAAACATCATCCAAACCAGCTTTTCCCAGCCTGATAGCCTCCAGATGTATTGGACTACAACTCCCATCAGCCCCAGCCAGCATGGCCAATGGTCAGGAGAGATGGGAGCTATAGGCCAGAATATCTGAAGGCTACCAAGTTGGGTGAAGCTGATGTCAGGCTCCCTTCAGGCTGGGAAGCAACACACACAGGCTCTTTGTATGGCTACCGTACCCTTAGATGTTTGGAAAGAGAGACCCACACTGGTGTTCAGGGAGTTTAGCATGCTCTGTTAACCATGGGATACTTTGAGTATCAGGTTCAAGGCATCTTCTGAGCCTAAATGGCATTGTGCCAGAGTTTGGGCCAGTGTTTGGCAGGCACACCAGTGTCTGGGCCAGCTCCTTATCAGGAATTTACCCCATGCTGACATTTTTTCAGATCTGAATGACTTTATGAGTAATAAAGAGTCAGAACATTAAAATTTGCTTCCTCCATATGCAAGCTTGCAAAACACACTGTATGTGTAGTGAGCTCCTCTACTTATTATGAAATAGTTTCTGTTAACTACTGATATTGGGAAAGCTAATATTCAAAACAGATCCCCATATGCTGGCCCAAGGAGTGATTTTTCCTCCTAAAAAAAGCAAAGTGTGAAGACTTTCAGCTCACATGAAAGCTGCTTATAAATGTTACCATCGTGATAGGGATCACTTGGTGTGGGAAGACCTGAGTTCAGCAGCCTTCATCCATGATTTCAGCCATTCAATATGTGTACAGCTGCCACAAATGAACTATTTCAAAAGTGCTTAGCACAACTCTTCAAACAGCTAAATCAATCATGAACTGTCTTGACCGCGAGTCAAAACAAGACATAGTAGAAAGGTCAGCATGAGCAGATGTACAAACCACAGATAATGAGCAGCTCAAATAAACCATCTACCACAGAGGTGTCTGGCCATGTGTCAAGATTAAGAAAGCCTGGCCTCAGTTTTCCATGCTCTGGTGTCCTCCAGTTTGGACTATTTGAATGTGCTCCATGTGGGACTTCTTTAGCAACTGCTCCCTTGTGCTGATCCCGGGGGAAGGTTACCGTTGACATAGTCGAAGTCTGGTCCTGGGTCACTAGCCTGGAAACAGTTCGCAAGGGGCGGGGCGAGGTCTGAAGCAGGAAGCCGAGCGGGGACAGGAACACTGGAGGGTCAGGTCTGGGTCCGGACAAGAGCAGGTACTCAACGACAACGTTGGGACCGGGCTAACTGGCCTTTATCTTCTCTGAGGCCAGGGGTGGTCCCGGCCCCCAGGAGACCCGCCTCTCCTGGCCTTAAGGCGAGCACTCCTCCTGGGAGAAACCAGTTCCCTTCGCCTCTCTGCCCTGAGCCTCTGCAGTTCAGGAGAGGCTGAAGGGTTACTGGTCCCAGGGGGAGACTCACCTGTAGGCACTGAGTCCTCAACTACCTCTGGAGCCAGAATGGATTCACCTGGTGCCTGCTCCTGAGGATCCGGCACAGGTGCAGGTGCCTCAGAATCAAGGCCCTGCCCCAGTTCAGCTGGCCCTGGAGGCAGGGACTCCTGTGCAGGCTGGGATTCCTCCGGTTCATCCTCTGAATCAGATTCCCAGGCCATCACATCCCTTCAATTTAGATGATTGGGAATATCCAAAGGATAGTGTTATCATGCTATCATGCAGCCACTTGAAAGAAGGTCACCACACAGGTAAACCTTTCCTCCATAATCACTTTAAGAAGCAACCACTGACCTTCTCAGTGTCCTCCTTTTTGACAGACTTGAGGTTGGCTCTCAAGTCCATGGATACTTTGTGCTTAGAGCCAAGCAGAGCCCTAAGCATAGCGTCAGCAGAGACACGGACCCTCCGCAAGGGAGGACGTTTGAATTTCCCCCGAAGGTCAAGCACCTTCAGTTTCAGGTCTTTAATCTGCAGAACAGGAGATCAGAAAAGAAGCCTCATAATGTCATCAATGGGCATGCAAGACCTAAGGTTAAGTTGGTCAAGCCTTTTTTTCTAAACAGGAAGGAGTTCGTGTGATCTGACTATCTTTCTCTGCTGTAGGTATGGATGCTCTGGGAATCCCCTAGTGCTAACAGTGAACACTCACACCTTCCTTTGTGGGTACTGTGCGCAGCACCCTGCGTCACATGGGGCGCACCAGCTGGTTGGGCTGGCCCGCCTCCCGCCAAACCTCAGTTAACCAATCAGCTCCGCTGGGAGGCGGGCCCAGCTGCATAAATAGGAGGCGGAGCCGGCAGCAAACATGCAGTTGGCTCCAGAGAGGCATTCCTGGCGGCAGTTTCACGCCTGAATCTTTTGCCACGCTCAAACAAAATAGAAAAAGCACACTGGGTCTCCTTTTCCCAATTTCTTTGTGCGCTTTATTAAGCAGCTCCTGCACCAGGAACATCAAACCTGAGAATGTCAGGAGAGCTTCTGCGTGGTGAAAAACTAGAACACAAGATCAGCCTAAGGCCTTCATTAATATATATATATATTCCAGAATGATTATAGATGTTCCAGGAGGTTGTGAATTTTCCTATTTTCAGTTCAGATCTCCACCTCTGTTCTCTCAGGCCTAACTGCCCTAAGAACCAGGTCCTGAGCCCAAGAATACAACAATACACTTTTACTGTTATATTGTGAAGATTGCAGCAGATGTCATTTTGTTTTCTTACCTCCCGCATGTTGTGGTTACATTTTGCTTCAATGTCATATCGCTCCTCATCCACAACATCCACCTTCTCATGCAGCTCTCTGCACAGATCCTAGAGAGAGAGGTTAAAAGGAAAACTAGTGAGCCGGCATTTTCCTCCAGGACTTGTTTTGATAGAACTAGTACACAAGAAGGCATTTCCTTTTCCTTCTTATCTGGAAGATATGATGTATTTTTGTCAATGGGGGGGGGGTCTCTCAACAGCAAATTTGACAAAGAAAGAAAAAGAAACCAGACGAAAATGAAAATAAAACATCAGCTGACATTAATAGTACAACAACCGTCAATACTAACCATCTCAGTTTAAACATATAAATTGATATATTCCCCTTGAGACAGTTCCTTTAAGCACTTCAAACCTCAAGTCTAAATAAGAACATCTCCAGTCTGAAGGAAGAGACTTCTTATCCACCTCTGGCTGCATCTACACAGTTATTTTAAAAATGCTCTATAAATGCTCTGCGGGGGGGGGGGCATTTCAAAGCTCACAGTGGAAAATTTCATACAGTTCCAATTTCAGCTCTGCAACACCATCTGGTGTCACAGTGTTATAATGCATTTTTAACGTTTTATTTTTACTAATGTAGCTGAGTCCAAAGGCAAAAAAATACAGCACAAGCTGGAGACCTAACTCCTAGTATGGCTCATCAGAGCTCCATAATGCTCAACAACATCAGCAAGTCTTCAAAAGCCATCTTTACTTCCACACAGCTTCCTCAACCAAGAGAATACCTGGAGTTGGGCAAACGAAAGTCCGCTGGTCCGCAGAGGTGTGACCCTCTCTGCCAAATACCTCTCCTTTTCTCCTTGTTTGTCCACTTGCTCTTGTTCCCACTGTTCTTTAGCTTTAGCCAGCATCAAACTCTGAGACAAAGAAGTCAAAGCATTTGAAATTTGTAGGCTTTGAGGTTTTGTTTCTCTTTCCCCCACCAACGCCCCCCCTCCCCTGCTCTGTTGACTGCCTGTTTATTTTGGAAGGTATGGAGGCTGCAGTAGTTGGTGTGATGGTCGGTAGGGCATTGAATGTTTATAGCTCAGGATGAGAGCCTGTGCAGTCGGAATACTGATGAGATGAAGTTCCTCACTGCTGTTAAGAGGGAGAGTCTTATTGGCACACAGCTCCCCCACCCCATGTGGGAAGTGGAGTAGGAGATTCATCTTATTATGATTCCAGGAGGTCTGCCCAGCTGCCTTTGTCATACAAAGTGACTGGCTGGGATTTTGTACTGAGGGATAAGGATGACTGTGTGTTTGTTTACAGGGAACCAGGCAGAGGGCCTTCCCGGTAGTGGCACCCGCCCTGTGGAATGCCCTGCCATCAGATGTCAAGGAAATAAGCAACTGACTTTTAGAAGACATCTGAAGGCAGCCCTGTTTAGGGAAGTTTTTAATGTTTGATGTTTTATCCCTTTATTTTTATTATTATTAATATTCTGTTGGGAGCCGCCCAGTGTGGCTGGGGAAACCCAGCCAGATGGGCGGGGTATAAATAAATTAGTAGTAGTAGTAGTATTTGTGGGTGCTACTAATTAATAGTATGATGTTTATTTCAATAGGTTGTTACTTGATTATTATTGTATTGTACAGTGGTACCTCAGGTTAAGAACTTAATTCGTTCCAGAGGTCCGTTCTTAACCTGAAACTGTTCTTAACCTGAAGCATCACTTTAGGTAATGTGGCCTCCTGCTGCTGCCGCGTCGCCGTAGCACGATTTCTGTTCTCATCCTGAAGCAAAGTTCTTAACCCGAGGTACTATTTCTGGGTTAGCAGAGTCTGTAACCTGAAGCGTATGTAACCTGAAGTGTATGTAACCCGAGGTACCACTGTATTTGTTTTCTGTTTTGTACATTGCTTTGAGATTCTTTTGTCTTGTATTTAATTTCTAGCTTTTACATCACTTTGAGATTTTTTAAAATTAAGACAAGTTCTAAATAAAAGAAAAGGACAAGGAGAGGGATCCATCAAAACATCATATTTTTTTTTAAAATCAGTGCTACCATATTTTCTGAGATGTGAGTTCTATCATAGGTCAATGCAAACATCTCATAGGCTTCCCCTACAATGCACAAGGTGGAATTCCTACACAATCCCCAACATTTGCTTAGGCTAGCTTCTCTTGTGTGCAGCTCACTTTGACAAAAGCACTGTAGCTGTTAGTGACCTCTGAGAGGATCTGGCATCGCATCCCGACTCACCTTCAAAAGGAGTTTGCGCGAGGCTGTGATTTTGGATTTCCTCTGTGGGAGAAAGAAGAATACGTAAATAAAGGAAAACCACTTTAAAACAAATACATTATGCAATCAGTTGCAGAGTTGCACCGAAAAATAAAAAAGAATCCAGCAGCAACACTTACCTCCCTGCAGAAGTTCATTTGGTTGGAGGAATAAAGACAGGAGAAAGCAGAATGAATATGAGGAATATAAATTTCTGCTCAAGAGAAGAATAGAATTGCTACTGTATGGAAAAGTAAACCCATCACACCTCTACTCCCCACTAATCCAGAGATTTCCAGAAGAAGTTGGGATTTTCCTACCCTCCCTATGATGTGTTTTGGGTCACAAATTGTTTTGGGAAGTGTAGATTTGGAAGGTTCACCTCAAAATGTGAATCAAACTGAATTCCCACCCCCATCCCTAGTGAGAAGACCTTATCTGGGAATATGGCTGTTTTGCTTTCATTTAGACAAGTGATTTAGTAATACAGTATTTCTCAACAGTTCAGCTGTTCTTGGACCCAAATTAAACATGGCACATTCTCACGGGGTTTTCCATAAAAGAGAAGCATCCTCTTTTATACGTTGACATAGATGTCCACAACTGTTCTCTGACCTAGAGATCCCCACTGTATGGTCACATCTACTAGTGGGATCATGGATTGGTTGTCAGTGGGTGAGCTGTGCCACTCTTCCAGTAGTGGACAATGACATCCCTGAAACAAAAGGGCTGGATGGACTGGCTAGCTCCAGCCTAAGGGGAAGAGAAAAGGCACAATTCCTTTGGCAAATCCCATTTTAGAACCTTGCCTCTAAGCCTGGGAAGTGTAGGTTTTTCTCTGCCATCTAGTGGCTGATTTGTAGAAGTGGTTTGTGAGTCTTACTAATGCTCTGAAAACTCAGAATTCTCTTTTATAAGTAAACTCGCTAGGCAGCCTCTGAATATTTGCTATTCAGCCAATGATCGCTGAGTTCAAAATTTCATATCTTACCCTTGATATCTGACTGTATTTGACATGCAATGGCATTTTGAATTTGGCAGTATTGGAAACTAATGCCTGATAGCTATTATTTTAGACTTTCTACCTTTGGGGAATACTTTCCTCTTTATATTCTCTGTGGTTAGACTTGACACTAAACCTTTAAAACACTCTTATACCACTTCAACAGTGATGGCTGCCCCAAAGAACCCTGGGAACTGCAATTCATCAAGGGTCCTGACGAATCCCCAACATCCTTAAATAACTATATTTCCCATGATCCTTTCTGGAGAATATATGGCTGTTGAAGTGGTATATTGTGAGCTTTAAATGTAGGATGTGACCTACAGCAGAACCTTTGAACATTGCAGAGAAATTAGAGGCATGCTCAGTTCACACTAGGCAGTGTTTGAGGACACTATTGCCCACTGCAACATGATAGTGCGCCCTGGCTTATGTCTGAGCTGACATGCATAGGATTGCACTAGAGCAAATCTTGATATGGCACTGGTCATAGGATTGCCATTGAAAGCAGCAGCCCTGTATCACGTTCTGTTTTCCTCCCATTGGTCAACTCTCCTTGTTTCCCCACTATGATACAGGTGAACCTATGATACAGGTTCATGTTTCTCTTGGGTTATCAACTTTGCAGATCCTTGGTCTCATGTGCAAACTGTAGAAACTGTGATGTACACACACCACACTGATGCACATCCCTCAGACATGTATGCAACCATATACCACAACTGCACACATATGCAACCCCCACACACATATGCATGCACGCATACACACACACCCTGCTAGCAATTAGGCTTGGGAAAATAATTTCTGCATTTTTCAACTCAAATTTGGGGCAGTGGGCATCTTCTTGGAGTGCACAGCTGGGTAGCCAACAGCAAATCTTCCCTCCTTAGCTCTCCAAGAAGCTCACCCCCCAACCCCACAACCAGGGGTGCCAAATTGAATAAAATATTGTGGGGGGGGCAGGTAAACCCCAACCCTGCATAATCGATCACACGACACAGTGCAGACACACCATTTGAATGGGAATGCCCATCAACTTTGTGGGGGCCCAGCCCCCTCAAATATTTTATTGTGGGGGCCGAAGCCCCCACGGCTCCTAGGAGTTGGCTCCTATGCCCACAACTATTAGGCTTGAAAAATGCCTCCTATGGAAGCCAATGGAAGATTTCGTTCACTCTCATTGCAGCAGGGAAGGAGCAATTGGAGGCTGCTGCTGGGGTGGGAAGTATTAACCATTGCTTCACCAGTTTGGTTGCCCCAAACTGCCCTTCCCTTGTGGCAATTAGGCTTGAAAAAAGCCTTCTATTTGGCTAAAATAGAAGGCTTCTTTCAAGCCTACTGACATCTTTTTCAGCAGCATTCCTCAGGACAAGTCTCCCAAATCTAGTTCCGCTCTAAGTGCCAGATGTCATGCATGAGTTAATTTAGGCCAAAGTCAGAAGAGGAAACCAGGAAACAAGATTCAAACTAGATGTAAATAGAGGACACCTCAAGTGGCAGCAGGCAGACATGGTTGTTGTTTATCTTACTTACTGTTCAGGCATCGTGCAATTGAATTGTGTGCCTACAATTTGAAAGAAAAAAAATCAGCAATAAAGAATGAAACTGAAACCTAACCTTTGAACACGAGCACAAGTTCAGGGTCAACCCTACATACATACAAACATCATTTTATTTGCATGTTGCCATTCCATAGTTCAAACCATGCTCAAGGTGGCCTATAACATGAAAAAATACATAGTGACTATATAACAAAAGTAGTCATAAACAATAAATAAAACATCAAAATACCAAACCAAGTTGAACAATTTGCACATATATCATAATAAGATCTGTAATAAAGGTACAGAGAATTAATGGCAATAACAGCAACAATCCCTGAACAAAAACCCCTAAACAATACCCCAGCCCAAGAGCCTATTCGGCAGCCTCAGCTTTTGTAGCTGGAGTCAGTCCAGGCCCCACCCTCCTAGTCCAGGTGCAAAAAAGGCCTACAAGGCAGCAAGCAGTTTCTCCAGGACTCACAACCAAGGTGGCCTCTGGCCTCTTCAGCAGCCTCAGCTTTTGTAGCTGGAGTCCATCAGGGCACCACCAGCCCAGGGCCTACCCATAAGACAGAGTGAGATGGACAGCTCAAGTGGTGGATGCTGGTAGGATGCATCTAGCTGTGGGGTAGACCAGAAGTGTGAGTGCCACACAGCTTCCCCAAAGCTAACCCTGCCACCTTCAGATGAGGTGGTGGACCTTCATCATCTGTGTAGAAGTAAGATTTATCTGTCAGTCCAGTTAGCTTCTGTATGTGGAAGGGTGTGTGTGTGTGTGTGTGTGTGTGTGTACACGCACGCCATCTTGCAAAACGGCCTCAGGCATTTCGAAAAGGCAGGTTTTGAATAACAACAATCTGTTGAGGCAGCAATTAAGCTTCCAATGTGTTTATTTAATGTTTAATCGCTTGGTAATAGATAACATTAGAATTAGAGAATTGTAGAGTTGGAAGGTCCAACCCCCCAGTCCAACAGGATTCTCAACTAGATCTGTACCTTGTTTGTAGTGTTTCTGCAAAACTTTATGGAGCTAAGCCAATGATAAAACTGCAGAGTGCCGGTGGGTCCAGACCTCATTATTCTATTTTCTAGATCAGGCATCCCCAACCTGCGGCCCTCCAGATGTTTTGGCCTACAACTCCCATGATCCCTAGCTAACAAGACCAGTGGTCAGGGATGATGGGAATTGTAGTCCAAAACATCTGGAGGGCCAAAAGTTGGGGATCCCTGTTCTAGATGGCTAGAGATGATAAGGATACTTCCCCCCTACAGGTGCTGCCTGGTGCTGCTACCCCAAATCCAAAGAGTAGTCACAGACTCACATAACCTAGTTGTACCTATTTGGTCCTACCTTTTAAATATCAGGTTGGGCACACTCTGTATATTGTGTATCCATGGAACAGCATTTAGACTATATGGATGGCTTGTTCCAATTAACTCCTGGTAAAATCATTCCACCAGTTATTAGAGGCCCACTAATTGAAGATGCAAAAATAAAATAAAATACAATTGTCCCACACAAGGTGCTAAGAAAAATGAGGTCCTAGGCAACCCAGGTGATTTTTTCTACCTCTGCTATTCCAAGCTGAATCATCTAAATGGGTAAGAGGCAGGGAGAAGCAGTAGACACAAGACAGCCTAGCATCTGATCAAATTAGAGACTTCTGCTCAAGATGGTGCATTACTCTCCCAGAACGTCTCTGATAGCCAGCACACCTCTATTGTTTACTTTTTTGGACCTTCTGCTGCCATGGAGAGAGATACTAGCAAAGCTGTGATGTACAGGAGGTCAGCCTCAAATTAAGGGAGCAAGAAATACCATAGACAGAAGGGTGTGCCATGTCAAGCATATCTACAATTCAGCAACTTGGCTTCAAGCGTTTAGCTACTTCTCGAATGCTAATTACCCACAACCCCTCTCAGTCCCTCAATTTTTACAAAATTATTTCTGTTGACTGATACTTTGGAGGGTAAGATAAGGAACTTCCCCGAGAGGGATCAAGCATGTGAAAATCCAAGTCTTAAAATACATGAGTCTTAGATAAATGCCCACATTCAAATTTCATTTTTTTTTTAAAATAAAAATTCAATTCAAATTCATAATGCATTTTTTGGTCTCACTTTTGCACTCCCTTAAGAAGCTGGTTTACACTCAGATTATTTGAAGCTTTCCTGCATCTGAGCAACTCTATAGGTAGCATAATAGATTTAAGAGCCTCAAAATTCCCTACAGCGTATTAGCTTTGGGCAAAATGACTGCCTATTCGAAACCATTCTAAATGAATGTAAAGTAAATGAATGTAAATATAAAATGGGGAATTTGATTGTAATGAAACCCATGGTTCTCAGGATCCCTTTGACTATAGGGCTGAAGGTGACTTTGAATATTGTAGTATTTCTAATACTGCTGCATACTTGGCAATAAGACAATTTTGCACCCATAATTTGACCATAGAATTTCTTTTGTTCAGCTGCAAAAGCCTCACTTTCATTCCTACTCTCTAAACAGCTTGACACCGCTTTGACGGCTCATATATATGCCTGCTTTTTGCTCAGCGGCTTCTACCTGTGCAGCCCATGTCTTCCACAAATAAGGTATCCATTCGTAAGAACATACGAAAGGTCCTCCCATCTCAGACCCAATGCTCACCTAGTCTAGCATCCTATTCTCACAGTGGCCAACCAGATGTCTGTGAGAAACCCACTGGCAGGAGTTGAGCACGGCAGCATTCTTCCCACTTGTGATTCGTAGCTATTGATAGCCTCATGCTCCATAAATGTCACTTGGGGAAAGGTATGGAACTTGTGGAATACACATCTGTGACTGGATCATTTTGCTCTTTCAAATGAATTGTCGCAGTGATCTCTGTATCACTATGGATGGCATTCAGAAACAGTTCCTCCAGTTTAGTTTCTGGTAGACAAATTACCCTGGCATAGGCAAAGTTCTCTCAAAGTTCTGTTGGGAGTCAGCAGATTTGTTTGACACCACCATGGTGTTAACAAAATGTAAATATCCGCAATAAAATAGACAGAGAAGGCAACTTGAGCATAGACTTTTATAGATGCACTCACCACAAACGGAGACATAAAAATAATTAGCATCGTTTCTGCACCTGTCATCTACAAGAGAGCTGGAATTTGATGTGGGAGAAAGTCAATTTGTTTTTTCAGAGTTCCCATTTCCCCAAGAGCCTATTGGATCCTGTTAGACACCCAGTCCCCTCGTGCAATGCCTTTTCCATCAGGGAATCTGATCACTGCCATCTGCTCTGGGGAATTTTCATAAGCATTTCTCTTCAGATCTAACGCTTCACCAACCGAAACCTGCCCTTAAGCTTCTGGCTAATCTATCTGCCTAGTATTTGCAAAGTGCTCCGAGATTGAAAAGGGGAGGGGAAAAACCCCATCTCCACCAGCCTGTGTCTGCATTAGTGCCTACATGCCATTGGCACTGCAAGTGTAATTGGTTTTAATGGCAGTTGCCTGGGTGCATCCCCTACAAAGCTCCTGCTCAACCAGCTGGTGTTCTCATTGCCTTGAGCAAAATAAGGTGGTGATTTCTTTCTCTGTGCTCCAACCTATAAATCAGCACATGACTACCTCCCGCCCCAAGGCTAACCCTTTGATGAAAACACCTTACCTAGCGCAGTCCAGGCGGGAGGGAGGTGCTGGCTGAAGGATGGAAGATTTCAGACTGTGAAGAGATGAGGAAAGGATGGGGGTATTAAGCTGCAGCCAGACCGCAACTGGTCAGTAAAAATAGAACAGATACAGATACCCTTCTGGGACGCCTGCATTCACAGAGCAAGAGGCGATGTCTAGAGATGCAGCAGACCACACACCCACACATTGTGTATACATTACGTGCGCACACTTTGCGCTGCGCTCATGTTATAATGAGGGCCGCATTCTCTCAAGAGCAATGTTGCAGGGGCCACATGCCAGCAGTGGATGGGTCTGGGATATGACTCTTGCCTGCATACAGTACATTGCATTCTGGCCATGCAAAAGTTAGAGCTTTCTAAACATCATCCCTTTATCTTCCAAGCAGACAAGCAGGAGGCATGATTGCTGCTCAAGGCACTGAAAGTCCAGGGAAGGTTGTGGCCTGGAAAGATGTGCAGGAGACTTCAGGAAGCCAGAGAGACTAGAGGGCTTTTGGCCCCCAGTGTTGAAGTTCCTCACACACACACACACACACACACACCATGTTATACCTTTACATTGCATCCCCTGTGTACTCTGACTAGTGTACAAGGCACACATGACTTCTACTAAAAACTCTGGACACACTGAGAACAGAACACTGCAAGACACGGTTGATAAGAACAGTCAGTGAGCGGAAAGTGAGGAGAGTGGATTACTCAGGATTGGATTAGTCCCCCAACTTCTAGGTTGTTCTTTTTCTCAATTTGAACCAAAGCTAAAAAAAAAATGGGGGGGGGGGAGTGGACACATCAAAACACAGCATTTCATGAGGATAAATATGGATTATACGGCTAGTGTCCTGTGTGCACTGCCTCCCAAGCCAGCAAGGTGAATGTTCCGGATGCAGAGGGGAACAAGGTTTTGATCAACAATCAAGAGGCCATAATTGATTGCTAGAAGCAGCCTTTGTTAAGGAGAACCTCAGTCCCTTCCTGCGGGGGAGCTCACTCTTTTGTCTCTAAAGCGGGTAGACTAGGGGCCCCTCAGGGTGGGGAGGAGGCCCAGAGAGCTGCCTTTGCACCTGTTTCCCTGGGTATTTTTGGAGCACATATGAGGAACACAACTCTATAGTCCAAGGAGGACAATGCTTGGCATTTTAATCCATGTTGCTATTATGGTGCGGGCAGAGAATACAGGAAAGATATTCAAAGGCAGTGACAGTAGTGGTGAGCCCAGGGCCCTTCCCTGCAACACCAACACCCCCCTGTTTTCTGTGGGAATGAGCAGCAATCAGAGCAGCAATGAACCATCCTCATTCGAACCCAGCCTTCCCCAATCGGGTGCCATCCAGATGCTTTGGACTACAGTTCCCATCATCCCCAGCCAGCAGAGCCATGTTGGCTGGGACTTATGGAAGTTGTAGTCTAAAGCATCTATATATAGAGAGAGAGAGAGAGAGTTGCATGCCACCCCAATCTCTGTGCAATGTGAGACTCCAGGGGTTCCCAGAGCTCATCCAGAGTTTATATTTCCTTTTGGAATGAGGGACAGCAGAGACTGTGGTGTCTTTATGATATATGGTTTATTTACACATATATACAACCTGATGGAGGGGTTCACAGCATTAACACCACAAGAGGGTCTTCCTTCCCCTATAGCCAGAGCCTTGGATTCAAACAGAAATCCAATGTTCCTCTGATTCTCTCTGCTACTTTTCTTCTGGCTCACATCACTTAACCCTCAATTCTCACCTTTGTCTTTTTCTAACAACCAGCCGGTTGATGCTCACACAGACTCACTTCCTTTATTCTCCTGAATGGCCCATCACCCAGGAGATCACCTCAACAGGGAGCTAGCCTGGCTTAGATTTTAACACTTACTGGATCCAGGGCTTGGGGGGGAGGTCTCTGTGTACAGCTTTATGCCCCGGACTCATAACAATATATAAAATGGTGTGTTCATGGCCCTTCCCTGCCCTCTTAATTCTCACCCCAGCTCTATGAAAGGGCTGTGAAAAAGTGCCTGGCCAATACCACCCCTTGAGCAACATAGCAGGGCTGTATACACTCAAGACATTTAAAGTGCATTCTCCCACCCCATAGGAATCCTGGAAGCTGTGGTTTGTTAAGGCTACTGGGAACTGTAACTCTGTGAGGAGGTAAACTACAGTTCCCAGGAATCTCAGAGCCAGGGGGAATGTGCTTTAAATGTATGGTGTGTACACAGCTGAAGTCTCTTTGGTCCTGACACTAGAACTACTCACCACTAGGTGCAAATGTCTGAAGATGGAGATTGGGCTCAACCCATCACTAATTCTGAAACTTCCTGGTCAGTCCTTACTGTATTGGCACCAAAGCAGAATCCTCCAATCAGATACATGCTCCTCATTAACATGCTCTGATGAATAGAAGAGCTCATTTCTTCGCTGAATTCCCCCCTACATTTGGTTGCTAACCAATCACAATGCAGGAGGGACAATGGCATAGTTAGATTTTAGCATGGATCTAAGCCACCCCCAGCTGTGAGTTCCTGTTTTCTGATCCTTCCCACCACTTCCCTCCAGGCTGTATATCTGGTGGTAATAGGCAGCATTTTCTAACAGGTACTGGACCTGATAATAAGGACTGAGCAACAGAAGTACGTCCAATAGAGTTCCAGGGGGCTTACTCCAGGTAAATGGGTATAAAATTGCAATCAAATATAGCTGTCCTTTGTTCCTGTTGACATAAGAAGGACTTCCATTATAACTCAGCTGTTCCATTTATACTATAAAAATGTGACTGTTTATAGTTACCTTACATAGATGCCCACTTGAATTGACCTTTTCTTTTAAAAAAGAAAGTGGGCCTTGCATATATCTTTTTTATTCTGGGTTTTACGGCATCCATATTTAAATACACAGACATTTTGCACCTTTTGCAACAGGTCAGGGCAAGATGAAGACAGTGCATACAGAGTGCATGGAAAACAGAGAAAGGATCTGCCTAGACAGATGAAAATTAGCCCTGGCACCTTTGCCAAGACAGAGAACCTCCCAGACTGTTACTCAGAACATAATACAATAAAGATCTGTTTTACAGGATAAATACAGAGCTCACTTTGGATTATTTCATGCAGGGAGATTTGGTAGAGTTAACAAGTTTAATAGTGGAAGCCGTTTCTCTGAGAAATTTCATTAAAATGAGGGATGTATCTGAATGCCAGTTGATGAAGATCAAGAGCACCTTCTTGGAAATCCTTGCTACTGGGCAGGAAGGGAGATTTGGAAAGAGCGTTTCCTGTGGTTTGAACAAAGTGCCAAACCATGGTTTCTTGTAATGTGAACAAAATGTGAGCTCACACACACTCACCTCCACTCATGTCCTCCTTCATTGGTTCACCAGGGGTGAGCCAGAGCTTGTCATTACATCAGAACTGGCAAACCATGGGTTGTGTGTATCCTCCTTCAAAGTGAGGCATCACTGGGTGAGATGCTGGGGAGCATCTTTGCAAAAGAACAAGGGGGGGAGGACAAGGGGATCAGGAGGATGGAGGAGGTTGATGGGGGGTGCCTTTGGGTGCTGAATTTCCTGTGCTGGCCCTCATCACCTGCATACTTTTAGTCAGTCTATTGCAAAAGGCATAGGAGGAGAGCCAGGGAGAATGTGCCAAGACCGCAAAAGGAGTCAGCCAACAATCAGAAACCAAGCAAGGATGTAATCTCAGACTCATTTCCCTGGGTGCCAGTGTGGTGTAGTGGTTAGGATAGGGAAGACCTGGGTTCAAATTCTCCACTCCTTCATGAACCTCACTGAGGTGACCTTGGGCCAGCCTAACCTGCTACACAGGATAAAAGTGAGAGATGAACTACCTTAAGCTCCTTTGAGGAAAGCTGACATATAAGTGATACAAATGTATAATAAATAGACAAACAAGCCCCATTTTAGTGAATGGGACTTACCACCGCATAGGCCTGTGTAGGATTCTGCTGTGAAATGCTGGCCCAAAGTAATAATGGTGACTCCAATGAAAACACTTTGAAAAATCTGTGTCTGTGGTAAATATGTGTAGTGTGCACCTAACTCTCCTAGAACCCGGGGTTTTTCAGCTGGAACTCAATGGAACTCAGTTCCAGCACCTCTCAGGTGGACACTATTGCTATTCTAAGAGAATAAGGGAGGTGTTCATGGTGAGTTCCGGCACCTCTTTTTCTAGAAAAATAGTACTGCCTAGAACCAATTTGTTCAAGTACAAACAAAGCATACAGCTTTGCAGCCGCCTTCAAAATGATAATAATAATAATAATGTTCCTCATTAACATGCCAGGACAAGTAGAAGAACTTGTTTCTTTGCTGAATTCCACCCCAGTCTTTGCACAGGGGATATTAAGCTTTAATCAGTTCTGCTGAAACCTTTATAAGGCAAGGGCCTGAGTGACTCTGTGTTCAGCTTTTGGCCTGGTGTCAAGATTGTGGTGACGAAGCCTGCCGAGAGGTTGTCTTCAGTGCTTGGGGGAGCTGGCATCAGCAAAGATGAAATGGGCTTCCCTTGGTCGGTTGGGCCCCTCAGTCACTGGCAAGGGGGACAGGCAGTCAAACAAAGAGGCTTTGTTCATCTCATTGACATCTCCTGTTCCAGAGCCAAGTTCACACGTTTGTTGGGTGAGAGTGGGAAGGAGGACTGAATGACAGGAGAGTCTCGTGGAGGAAAAAAGACCAAATCAGGTAAAAGGGGGCAGAGAAATTAGAACAGTGCTTTCCCAAACTTTTGAACTTCAGTATGGCTCTGAAAGGGACACGGGTGGCACTGTAGGTTAAACCACTGAGCCTAGGACTTGCTGATCAGAAGGTCGGCAGTTCGAATCCCCGCGATGGGGTGAGCTCCCATTGCTTGGTCCCTGCTCCTGCCAACCTAGCAGTTCGAAAGCACGTCAAAGTGCAAGTAGATAAATAGGTACTGCTCTGGTGGGAAGGTAAACGGCGTTTCCGTGTGCTGCTCTGGTTCACCAGAAGCGGCTTAGTCATGCTGGCCACATGACCCGGAAGCTGTACGCCGGCTCCCTCAGCCAATAAAGTGAGATGAGCGCCGCAACTCGAGTCGGCCACGACTGGACCTAATGGTCAGCGGTCCAGAGGTTATGCCTCTGAAAACTAGTGTCTAGGAAATACAGGTTGGCAGAGTACTGCTTCACTCATGTC